CGGCACTTCCGTTGCTGGCATCGCTGGGAGAAACATGCCTTATCCTCAGGATGGGATAAGCGATCAACCTAGACGGAGAGGCTAAAAATGGCCTCGCCAAGCCTGCGCCAAAGTATCGATGGTAAGAAATGATCAGCCCGTCAAGTCCATTAAAAAAACATGAGTAGTCTTACTTGCTGAAGCACCGGAATGGTTAGGATCCTCAACAAGGTGATGTTGCGCAAGCCTATCATCTGTGGCAATGAGCATAGGAACCCTTTGAGTCTAGGGGATGTTCTGGATCTTCCGCAGCACCTTCATCAACTCAGATGAAGGAGGAAGCACCCCGTTTGGCAACGCTACAAAAGAAGAAACAAATACTTGAGAATCACAATGAAGTCGTAGGCAAAAGTAACTGCAGGAGGGAAGAATACTCGTCATTTTCCCCAAAGCGGCTAGGCACACGGCCAACAAACGACCTGTCAATAGCCAACCATCGACCACTGACGAAGAACCAACAATCTTTTCAATGCTTGTTCATAGTCAGAGCATTGAAAAACATGTCATAACGAGAGCTTGGGCTGTAAAATTCGGGGAAGCCTGAAATTGACTTCATTAGGGTCAACGCAGTAAGTAGGGTCAAGTTCATCGTTTCGCCATCATGGCTAGCGCGCCATTATGGTCACCCAGGCATTAGGGGCCAATTGTGCTAGCACCGATAAGCGACAAAAAAAGATTGAGCGACAGGATAAAGTAAAAGTTTGACTTCGTTCTATAACATATGTGGGTATAAACTTACCCACTCGGGAGGAAGGTTGTCGATCCTTTCATCCTTCGCCGGAAGACGCAGGAGCGAGAAGTCTGGAACCCAATACTCAAAACGAAGGTCCAAGAGTTCTTGCTCCATCGTTTGCGTCGGAACGTGATTCACCACTGGTTGGTTAGCCATGGTAGTCGAAGATACAAGGGGCAGTCGAGAATACGGATAAAGTGAAGGGCAAGAAGAGTAACCATCGCTCCCCATATAAGGAAGGACCCCCACCCTCACCGGGCAAGTGAAAAACCTGTCACTAATACTTAAGGTGTCTTTTCCTATTTTCTACTTTGATTACTGACTTGAGCATCAGAGGTTATTAGGCGGGACACTGCACCGGCATTGAATTTTCTGGTTGCAGGCTCATTTGCTCTCCATTGAAACAACCCCTCCAAAGGACACATGGCCCTTCCCAAAATTTGCCGTCAACAATAGGGTTATAATGTAGGTGAAGAAAAGTATAGTTAGTTTGCCCACGGCGCCGCTGTAGCGTACCACAGCGCTGTCCTAATGGGGAGCACGGGCGCGCTTTTGCGTCTGTAGCGCCATGGCGTCGTAGATAGTGCCATGGCACTGGTTCGCCTATAAATGTGCAGTTTTAGGTTTAAGGTTTTGTCAGCCAAAAAAAGGTTATTTTCATCCGATTTTAAGAGGGTTTTGGCAGCAAATTAGTGGCAGCGGCTCAGGTATTGACAGAGGCATTAGGGTTGATCAAGATCGATATTATTGAGGTCATTATATCTTGATTGTTTTGGTTTTCATTCCTGTTCCTAAGTACTAATGGTGTAAAAATACTTAGAAACTAGGGGGCTTTTGTTGGGACCTCTATGGGATATTTTTTAGGAGTGTTATTGTATCCAAATCCTTAACATTATTAGTGAATTACCCACATTTAAGTGGAAGAGTGGACGTAGTCCTTAATGGTGAACCAATATAATTTGTTGTGTCATTGTCTTGTTCTTTACAGTTTTCTTCTTTACTTGCATATTGTGGTTGTGTTTGGATATTTTTCGTGGAAGAAAAAATTATACAAGACTATTAATTTCTCAACACCCCTTCCATGGCCAACGTGGTACTTTGTTTGTACTCAATTACAAATCCAACGCTCATAAACCCAACACAGCTCATCGCCTCCTATGCAACAATCTAACATAATTATTAATTGAGTTTTCTTCCTCTAGCTTTAGCCTATTAATCATTAAAAACAGCAAAACTATGAATACATCAAAATTAATAATAATAATAACAACAATTATTCACTTAGATTAAAAAGTTAATTTACAATGTGCTTTTAAAACACTAGGTATCATATAAAATTAGCATATCATCCCCGTAACATATTAAGGACGGTAGGAGACAGAAAATATTTTAAATAAATAAAATAAAATAATAGAATAGAATAGTATACATGTGAATTAACCATTAATGACAATTTTATAAATATTTTCTATATATTATTTACCATTTATGTTCATAAGCCATTTATGAATGGTTTGTTTTAGTATTGTATAACTATGACGTTGAACGGTAGGACTAGGGAATAACGTATTTGATTCAAAATGGTGAACTTTGTATAAATTTAATATTTTCTCGTTTTACTTTTTATTAAATATTGTAAGACGACATAGGAACCATACCAAATTCAGAACAAATCATTGCAAAAGAAGTTCATTATCCAATCAATTAACTACCAAAAGAAGGAATAGGATCAAGAAAAGGCCTGCAAAATAAAGGTCTGAGCCCCACGATGAGGATCTGTGGGT